GCCACAGAGGCGGGGAAGGTGACGAAGACCGACAGGAGGAGGAAGTGGTTGTCGGGCAGGTTATCGGTGACCAGAGCCAGGGCAAAGAGGACCGCCGACACGCCGGTGTTGATGTACATGCCACCCATCATGGTGAAGAACTAAGACAAGAAGGAAGGGAACCCGGGAAGGCCGCGGTCAGGGAGAAGGCCAAGCAGGGGGGGGGGGGGGGGGCAGGGCAAAAAAGGGCCGGAGAATGTTGGTGACGCACAAGACCCGCGAGGGAGAGATAAGACACGAGGCCGCGCATGGTGGAAAGAGGAAATCCTTGGCGGGCGGGAAGTGCACCGGGCGGAGAGAAGGGGAGACGAAAAGAGAGGTGAGGGGGACAGGGTCTGCTAGGACAGAGGCAGTTGTCAGGCCTTGCCGCACAAAGACCGTTCCCTTGGCGGGACCTTATATGTGTGTGTGTGTGGGCAGTCACCGGGGCGGGGGGGCGGGGGTCAGCGAGAGGCGGGGGAGGCTGATTGTCGGGGCCATCGGGAGGGGCCTCGGCCGTCGGGCTGGTCCACGAACCCGAAACACGGACCCAACGGCCGGCCGGGGCCCGCGACGAGTCCACAATCGCGGCGGGGGGGTCTGGTCGCGGCTACGTGGGGACCCGTGCCGAGCACCGACTTCCGGGAATGGCCCGAGCCGTGGAGCGCCAGCATTTTCTCCTCGTCCGGGAGGGGCATCCTACCCTCGCCGAAACGCGCGCCTCAGGTTCCCCCCCCCCCTGGGCCAGTTACGGGCAACATAACACACTCCAGGCGGAAGATAATCGGTGCCAACTGCCCAAATCATGCTCCAGCCCTGCAACTTGGGCGGCCGAAGGTTGCCCCATCGGCCGTCATCCCACTCAGGCGCAGGTCACAGGTCCGGCCCGCCCGGGAGGGGGGCGAGTTCCCGCGCCGAGGGGGGCAGATATACGTGGGAACTGTGCTTGGGAGGGAGATGAGTCTCGACCGGGGGGCCGCAGATGGTGACCGCCCACGGCCGGAGGGTAAAATGCCACGCCCGGATGGATTGGGCCCAGAAGGGGGGAACGGAAAATTATACATACCCTTGCGCATGCGTGGGGGGTATGCATGCCCCCCCCTACCCCGGCACGCGGGCGCAGAGGAGCACGCATCCGGAAAAAGAGCATCCTCAAGACCGCCGAGGCCGCGTGTGCCACTCCAGACCGAGGGGGGGGGGGGGGGAGGAGACGGGCACCCCTCGCCGTGCCGCGCCAGACAAGACCACACATGCATCCAAGAGTCGGCAGCTTGTGTCTCCGTGAGGCCCGGCCCGCGTCCAGGTGAAATGGCGTTCCCGAAAGGGGCGCATCTTCCGTCGCGCCCCAGCCGGAGCCGCGTGGATTCTTTTGCCGGCCTGGGATGGGCCCGGACCATGGGACCGAGATCTAAGAGAGCCCACAAGGACTTCTGGCCTCTTCTCCCCGAGCTGCTTTCCATCGCGACTGCCATCTCCCTGTACGTGGCCTGCCCTGTCCCTCTCTCCTCCCCGTCCCCGTCCCCCTCTTCCCTCTGTTTTTTTTCCGTGCAGGAATGACTATAAATTGCACGTCCGTCTGAGCCTTTGGTCCTCCCTTTTATAGGTCCATCGGTTATCCATGATAGTGAGATTTCTGTATTACCGCACATCCCCCCCCTCCTCCTCTTTCCTTCCTTCCTTCCACCCTCCTCTGACATTTTCCTCCCCTTTTTAGTGTCCGTGAGATCCAGCATCCGGCTGATCGCTCGTTCAAGAGCTCCCTTTCTTTTAATAATTGAGCATTTGGGATCGTCGCGATCGGGACATCAGGGGGGGGGGAAGATGCGAGCGCGCATTGCGAGGGGGGGGGAGTGAGAGGGGCAAGTTGGGTGGTTTTGATGAAGGCCCAGTGTCTGGTGACCCGGTGCGCCTGTCGGGCGGGGGGGGGCCGGTGCATCCCCGATGTCTCTCTGCGCGCACACCTTGCTGTGCACTTCCATAAGAGAGGAGACCCTGCGGCAAGAGAGCGAGACACCTCCTTCTGTGCCCCTAGGAAGAGAACTATCCACACTCGACAGTGGGAGACACCGAGGAGGCCCGAGCGGAGGATCTCGGCCAGATACACGCGGCCGTGCGTTTCCCCCCCCCCCCCGACCCCCCCCCCCCCCCCCACCACCCTCTCCCCCATCCCCTAACTCACAACTCCCCACTCTACTTTCTATTTATTTCTTAGTTGTTACTATTCACGTCATGTTTTTTCCTATTCTCTACTTCTTTTCTTCCTTCTCTCGCTCTCTCTCTCTCTCTTTCTCTCCTTCTCTCTCTCTT